CCTCTTTCAAGTGACATTTACCCTAAATGAATATAGAAGCCAGGCACAGGGAGGAAAGTGTTCTATATCCAAATCTATAAAGTTGATTAATGCTGAGTTGGGCCATTGTTCCACCCAACCATATAATAAGTCACCTGCTGGATTAGGTCAAAGACCTATCTAGTCCAGCAGTCCATGTCCACAGTGGCCTACCACTTGCCAATGGCAGGGGTAGCCAACATGGTGCCCTCCAGGTGTTGAGCTTCAACCCTCACCCTGCCTGTCCTTTGGCCATGCTGTCTGGGGGTGATGGGAACCGGAGTGCAACATGGGAAGCCCACAAGCAGGATTATATGTTTCCCACTCCAGCAGCTGGGATTCAAACCCATGATGTCTCTGATACGGCAGACATTATCTGTTTATTTATACCCTGTCTTTCCCTCAACACTGGGACTCTATGCAGCTCACAGAAATTAAAAAAAAATACAAAGTACACATAGCTAAGAACATATGAAGGGTTATTGTTAAAAAGTACTTAAGCTATATGGGATTGAAACAGTGCAAAGATGTATCCACTAAAATGCAGGTGATAATTAATTAATCCTAGACCCACAGAATTGTAGAGTTGGAGGGGTTATCTAGTCCAACCCCCTGCGATGCAGGTGTGGATCTCGAATCCAGAACCCTAAGCGTCTTGTGCTCTCCGATCTGAGCTATCCCATAGGTTAATTATAATGATTAATAGGTAGTACATAACCATCTCCTTTTTTAAACAGCTCATCACTGCAACTTGTGGTGGCAAATCTCATCATTTACATCTATATGCTGCATGAGGAAGGACTTCATTTTATCTGTCTGAATCTCTCACCAGGGTTCTTGCATTATGAGAGAGGGAGAAGCTTCTCCTTATCTACTTTCTCCACACCTTCCATGATTATATACACCTATGCCACATCCCTCATATTAATTACTTGCCTTTTTCCTAAGCTCAGAAGTCCCAAGCTTTGTGACTCTCTGTTTTTAGGAGAGTCCAGCCTGGTACTGTCTAGTCTGATTGATAACAGCTTTCCAGAGTCTCAGACTTTCCTGTCACCTCTGGCCTGAGCCTTTCTAGCCACTGGAGATTCTGGGGCTTGAACGTCCTTTTGCATGCAAAACATTTGTTCTGCCACTGAACTCTGGCCGCAGAATTACAATGTGCAAGGAATAAATCACACGCTTATTGCAAGCTACAACATGCATGCAACTCCACTAGACTGTGCATGGTGCGCTGAGGACCTGCATCAACTAGTCGCCACTAGGTGTCAGCAAACTTTTTCAGCAGGGGGTCGGTCCACTGTCCCTCAGACCTTGGGGGGGGGGCGGACTATATTTTTTTTTGGGGGGGTGAACGAATTTCTATGCCCCACAAATAACCCAGAGATGCATTTTAAATAAAAGGGCACATTCTACTCATGTAAAAACATGCTAATTCCCAGACCGTCCGTGGGCCGGATTTAGAAGGTGATTGGGCCGGATCTGGCCCCCGGGCCTTAGTTTGCCTACCCATGGGTTAGGAGGACAGCCTGAAGGAATGACTGGTGGATGTCACTGTGGTATACTGAAAAAATAAAAACACAAATACAAGCATTTAGCTGTCAGAAGAAATAATATCAGCAGCCTGTTTGCTTAATTCCTAGAAGTGTAAACTGCCTATTTCCTCTTGGGCAGCTATTCTTGTTTTTAAATGGGCTGCCCTTTGCAACTAGTGCTTGGAGACACATTGGAAGAGTGTAATAAAACTGGTAATGTACAGAAACCTACCATATAGCTTCAAGGGATAGTGCAGATTTTTAACTTTGCAAAGTGTTTTCTTAAACAAAAGAAAATGCTCATGGCAAAAAGAAATCCTGAATAAACTGGACAACTGGTAGACCTTTTCCTTATGGGCTATTAAGCTCCTCTTGTGGAAAAAAATAAACAAAATAAGCTGTTCTTTAGAAAAGAGACAGACTCAAGGATACACAGGCAGTGACAATAGATGTGTGATCACCGACACATGGGTCCTTTAGGATCTGGAAGGTCAAATGGGGGCAGAAGTGGGGGAGCGAAACAGAGGCAGGGCATCCACCAATGTATGTGGAGGCCGTGAAGGGAACCCATGTAAATAATTTTAATGGAGTCTATAGAGGTGGATCCAGAAATAATGCCATTTCATGAACTAGCCCTTTGCTGGATCACTGCCTCCTCCTCCTTGCTCCTCCCTTTTCGCTCTCTAATAATAGCCACCCAGAGTGGCTGGGGAAACCCAGCCAGATGGCCGGGGCATAAAGAATAAATTATTATGATTCTATTATAACTTCCCCCCTCACTTCTGATCAAGGCTGCAATCTTAACCATAATCGCTCAGAATGAAGTCCTATTTAATTTACTAGGGCTTACTCCCAGGTTAGGACTGCAGCTTTAGTGGCAAACCATATAAATCAGAATACAGCAAGCTATGGCTTGTGCAAACCATAGGTTGCAAGATCTGGATGTAACAGCAAATTATAGCTGGCAGCTAAAGCAGAAATGAGAGAGGAAATCAGATGTGCAAAAGGAGGAATGGGTGTACAAGTTCAGGGATTCCTTCATATAGCAGCAAGCCAGTGTCTGATGTTATGTCTGAAATGACCCACATGTGCACATTAACACACACCCGCGCAAATAATGTATGTATATGTGTGTGTGTTTGTTTCTACAAACAAATTAAGCTAACTTCTTATTAGTGATAATAATTTGCATGTGTTTTCTAATTTTGAATTATTTATTATTCCACTTCTACTAATCACAGGTAGACCTCTCTTTCTTTAGAAATCCTCATTGCTACCCTTCTGAGATATCACAAGACACTGCCCAAAATCTTCCCATCTTATCTTAAAATACAGGGGAAGATCCTCATAATGCTTAATAATAATAATCATTTATTATTTATACCCCACCCATCTGGCTGGGTTTCCCCAGCCACTAAGGGGGGCTCCTAACAGAATATTAAAAACATGATAAAACATCAAACATTAAAAACTTCCTGAAACAGGGCTGCCTTCAGATGTCTTCTAAAAGTCAGATAGCTGCTTATTTCCTTGACATCTGATGGGAGGGCCTTCCACAGGGCGGGCACCACTACCGAGAAGGCCCTCTGCCTGGTTCACTGTAACCTCAGTTCTTGCAATGAGGAAAGTGCCAAAATACCCACCGCACTGGACCTCAGTGTCTGGGCTGAACGATGGGGGTGGAGACGCTCCGTCAGGTATACTGGGCTGAGGCCATTTAGGGATTTAAAGGTCAGCCCCAACACTTTGAAGTGTGCTGGGAAACGTACTGGGAGCCGATGTAGGTCTTTCAGGACCAGTGTTATATGGTCTCGGCAGCCCCTCCTAGTCACCAGTCTAACTGCCGCATTCTGGATTAGTTGTAGTTTCTGGGTCACCTTCAAAGGTAGTCCCACGTAGAGTGCATTGTAGTAGTCCAAGCGGGAGGTAACTAGAGCATGCACCACACTGGCGAGACAGTCCGCGGGCAGATAGGGTCTCAGCCTGCATACCAGATGGAGCTGGTAGACAGCTGCCCTGGACACAGAATTGACCTGCGCCTCCATGCACAGCTGTGAGTCCCAGGCTGCGCACCTGGTCCTTCGGGGGCACAAGTACCTCATTCAGGACCAGGGGGCCCTCCACACCCACCTGCCCCCTGTCCCCCTAAAACAGTACTTCTGTCTTGTCAGGATTCAACCTTAATCTGTTAGCCGCCATCCATCCTCCAACCGCCTCCAGGCACTCACACAGGACTTAAGGGTCTACCCATTATCAAGTGGGTGGAACAGGATATGTAGAGAGGGAGCCACAATGACTAGTGTCCCACATCAGTCTCCTTTGGGAAGGACTGTCAATCTGTATGACACACATCCAGTTGCTCCTGAGCTTAATCCTATGAATGTTTACACAGAAGTTAAGTTCTACAGAGTCCAATGGAACTGCAAACTTTGTCAAGTACGAATCATTCACTCCTACTAATAATATGCCTACCAATAAAGCACTGGAACTCTATCCTATAGGTCAGTGTTTTCACACTGATCATGTGAGTCACAGCCTTTAAAAAAACAATGTTTCTAATAACCTTCTTTCCAACTGTTAAAACAAAATTGCTTCATCCACATTTATCACAGTGGCAGTTTACATTTTAGAAAATAAGAGATAACTAACAGCCAGCCAGCTGACTGCTCAAATAATATCAACTGACTGCTTCCCGAACCTTAGTTTTTAGAATCATTTACCATTTAAGAGAAAGTGGAACCATCTAATCCTCCATTTAAATGCAAATTCTCATTCTGCTCTTGAGGGGTTTCCAGAGAATGCTAACTCCACCTTATTTAAACACATTGGACATACACTTATAGGGATTTTTTCCAGTCAATTACTGGATTATAAATACTTCCGCAAGATCAAGCACCAATGTTTAAGAGAGCCTCATCTATAATACAGGCGTGTCGGTTCTTCCCCTGCTTGGAAACCAGCCCACTTGAGGTTTCTCAAGGTTGTCACAAAACCATGCCACCCAGCAAGAGAGGGAACTTTATTTTTTGGCCTGGTCTTAGAACAGTAGCAGTCTTTTATATGCAAGAGCACTTCACTTTGTTAAGTGAAGTGACAGATGTCTAACTTTAAATTCCTGCTGCCGTTAATTAAGACATTTTACATAGGTGCTATAATTAAAAGCAAGGGAATGACACTGATTATTTCCCCACAACTAGGCAGGAACGTCTTGAAATATAAGGCAAAGATTCATTTTCATCATGGAACAGATCTTCGTATTATCATGCATTTTTCTCCCATTGTCATCATACCATCTTTAGGTGATAATGATGTGTGGTTGTAGCCAACTAAGTTCTGCTCAGAGGAGACCCATTGAAATTAATGGACTAAGTCAATCATGTCTATCCTTTCACAGAATCACAGAATTGTAGAGTTGGTAGCGACCACAAGTAGTCCAACCCCCTGCTTGAACCCACAACCCTGGGGCTTGAACCCACAACCCTGAGATTAAGAGTCTCATGCTGTACCAACTGAGCTAGTAACACTAATGGATACAGCACATGGTCACAATAATATGGTCCATCAAGCCAAAGATATCCAAATTAGCTGTCTCCTGTGGCCTTCCTTCCTTTGTTGTTGCTCCAACAACAGGCAGGCATTAAGAGCAGGAAGCTTTCAGTTTCATGGTAGGTTGCCAGAGCAGGCTGGTGGTTCATGTTAGGCATGGCAGATCATGTAGGGCTGTTTGGGGAGGGGTCAAACCTACATGCAAATTCAGGTCAAACCTGAATGCAAATTGTGTTCTCTCCCACTGCACTATAGCTCCTTCCCAGTTTTATATTATTAACAACCATCTAAATGGTTCACAAGAAGCTGCTAGCAATCTCCTCTATCAGAAGATGGCTGCTTATTATTTTTCATTTGATTTTTGTCCCATAGTCTGAAATCAAAGGAGAAAGATCAGTAGGAAACATAAACAGTGGTTGTCTGGAATTAAAAACTATGGATGCTATGTTAGCCGTACTCAGAGTAGACTGATTGATATCAGTGGCCTTGGGTCCACTGACCAACATTAGATATCGCCCTAAATAGGGTACCCTTAAACAGTGAGATGGAAAGGAAACTTTGGAGTTTCCTTCTTATTTGTCACTATCAAAGTGAATTAGCCATTATTGTGCATCATGCACAGTAATTTGGGAGGAAAAACATATCGGTTGGGAAGTGGCCCATCTTATTGGAAGGGGGATAAAATTAGCCTGTTGGGGTTTGTTTTACCCCTAATTCTTTCCACCAAAGTTTGCATTTCTAACAAGCATATAGCAACGTTGACCCAACAGATAATTTCCATCCCTGCCAAAACAAGAACATGGCCAACAGGCATCTTTCATCATCCCCTCCAGCTTCAGTTAAGGTAAAACATCAGCCAGCTATAAAGACCAAGAAATGTTTAAACAGCCTGGCAATCTTTTGCCTAACAGAGTCCTTTTTTTGCCAAGGCTTCAACCCACAGACTGGCTGACAGCCCATCTTCAACCACAGAAGCCACCGTCAGGTTTGGAAAGAAACCCTTTACATCTTGTGGTAAAGAATGGATTCTGGAATAATCTGATTTGTCGAGTGCTGTGGAAATACACTGAGCCTTATTACATTCTACATACTGCAGAATGGAGAACAACTTTAGAAATCACACTTAATTCAGGCCTGTAAACAAGACAGCCGCCTAATTGATTGTGGGGAGAGATAATGGCCTTCAGGCAACCTCGCAGATAAGCATTTGTGAATCAAAAAGAGGGTTGACTCTTTTAGGGTTTTTCTTTCCAGTCATCATTGTTCTGCCCATCACCAACATGGGTAAGAGTAGGTAAGAAGGCTAGTTAAAAGACTAACTTCTGTGAACTTATTTGCAAGGCTGCACTTAATTGGCAAGTCAAAATCGATTTTAGAAGGATAAGTGTAACCTTCTGACTTAAATTCATGGGTCACAAACTTGAGGGCCATTATTTGTTTTAAACTAGGACTGTCACCTGTCTAAATAAATGCTAATCACGAATCCTATCAGTTTGAGACTGGTCCTAACTGGGGCCAGAGGGTGACAGACAAAATGGCCACTGCCCTTGGGGCAGGTTTTATATTTTTGGGCATGCTAACTCAAAGCAGATTGTTCTCTTTAGGAAATGCATATCCTCCAACATGTTGCGTCCCAAAACTGGGACACACATCTTCCCACCCACATGAGATCATGGACACATGAGACCACATGCCCCACAAGACACAGGCTCTCACAGCACCAAAAAAATGTGCATTCTGGAGTGCTGTGTGAGATTGCAGCCCTGAAGGGACACTTTTTTTCAGGGCAAGATCTTGGTGTGAAATCGCTCAAGGTCATGGTGACCAAAATTGCTGCTGCGCTCCCACACGGCGGGGGGAAATGGGATGTCCCGGTTTTTCTGAGACACTTGGAGGGTAAGGAAATGGGATGGGATTTGGATCCATCACAAGCCTCATTCTGCCCTCATAATGCCCAGTTTGGGGGCTACTAACAGCAGCAGTGCCACCCACAGGGACAGCAGAGGAATCCATGGTAGCAGAGCACCTCCATTTGTGGACAACAGTGGATAAAGACCTCTGCTGCATCCTGACCCAACTGCAAGGATAGGAGATCATGGTTGTTTGTCAATTAATTGATTGATTCACTAGTTTTTAGATGATGTATGTGTGCACATAATTTTAGCTGCAGTCTAAAACCTGTGAGATAAAAGGCAAATCCTTCTTTTAAGATGGTTCTTACAATCTACAGTTTTTATAAAAATGAAGGGGTGGGGTGGAGATTTTGCTGCCCAATACGTTACGGTCAAACAGAAACATATTTAACCAATTTTAACAAATTACAGTGGTGCCCCGCAAGACGAATGCCTCGCAAGACGGAAAACCCGCTAGACGAAAGGGTTTTCCGTTTTTGAGTTGCTTCGCAGGACGAATTTCCCTATGGGCTTGCTTCGCAAGACGAAAATGTCTTATGAGTCTTGAGATTTTTTCCCGCTCCCCCTTTATCTAAGCCGCTAAGCCTTTAATAGCCTTTTAGCAGCTAAGCCGATAGCCGATAAGCCTTTAATAGCCGCTAAACCGCTAATAGCGCTAATCCGCTAAGCCGCTAATAGGGTTGCTTCGCAAGACGAAAAAACCGCTAGACGAAGACACTCGCGGAACGGATTAATTTCGTCTTGCGAGGCACCACTGTAATTGGTTAATGGTTGTTGCCCTGTTTAAAATATTTACATTCCACTTTCCTGAGGCTCAAGGCAGTTGATGTAAGACACAATAAAGTGGTTGCAGACCTTTCAAAAGGGCATGTGGAGGATCTGGTGTCGATAAGGCGATTCCCATGTTCTATGGAACAGCATTCCTGATGAACAACGACAGGCTGCCGCTATCTGCACTTTCCGGGGGGAAATGAATACACTTTTGTTCCAACAGGCTTTTCCAGCTGGATTAATAGGTCATTACCATGAGTGTCCACTGTTAGGGTTTCAGTCTTGTTTGAAATGTATCTGCTATGTGTGCGTGTTGTTTAAACTGCTTTGAATTACATGTAAATTGCCTTGAGATGCTCATTTAGAAGGAGATTAATAAATCAAAGATGACAATGATAATAATTACTATTATTCCAGCACCTCAGAGAAATGGCAAAAGAGGGCCTGCTCAAAAGCATTGTTCATCTCATACAATGGGTAGATCAGAAAAATGATGGCAACACAAGCATTGAAACGGAGAGAAACAGTGCCATGGACTGGTTGGACGCAGGAGAGTGGTGGAAGGAACCAGCTAGGGAACCCCCAAGGGAGGAAGGTCAGAGCCAGGGACGACCACCAGCACCCAGAAAAATGCAGGCAGGAAGCCCAGTTGCTGGCTGAATATATTGTTACTTCCCTAGGGTATCTTCTGAACCGGCATGAAGACAGCTGTAATAAAATAACATTATAGCCCTCAGTCTTTAAGGTTACAGAAGTGGGCAGAAGTACTGTGAGACCTGTCTGTTCCAAAAAGGGTTGGGACCTATACCACAACTTTAGCTGATGACAGAGACTTCTGGCTACTAAGGCTATCTGGTTCCAAGTTCCAAATCTGATCCAACGGAATAAGTACAACACCCACACCAAAGCAAGCAGAACTACCCTCAGGAGTTCTAAGATTTCCCTCTAGAATCATCTCTTCCCAATCCCTGTTCTAGGCAGCACATACAGCTTGGGCTACTAAGCAATGAACTTGAGGAAACACCATAAAATACATGATCTTCCACACAGGTGGGAATATCTGTCTAAAACAGTACCTTGAAAAAGTAGTGCACTTCCACAAGAAACCTTACAACATGGATCAACAATTGGGTGCCCATGGGCACCATGGCATCCACAAAAGCCTTCTTCAGTGCCCCCAGGATACACCATAACTCCCAGATTCTAAGCTTTCATTAAAAAATAGTTGCATTTTTAGAACCTGAGACATGAAGCAAATAGTGCAGGCACCATTCTTCCCAGTTTTGGGGTGATAAATTAGCTTGCTCTTGCTCTTTTAGTGTTTCACCTGGGCAGGACCCCCGTCCCCCAAAAATGCCCTCCCTAGGAAAATTCCTGCATGTTTGTGAGAGAGGGAGAGATGTACACATGTAGTCGGTGTGAAAGGAGGGGAGGGAGTGTTCATATGTATGTGTGGTCTGTGAGAGGGAGGTAAGAAATAGCAGCAGCTGCCTTCTAGTGCCCTCTGGCCTACTTGACTATACCACTGCATTTTTCTTTTGCTCTGTCAGCCCTTAGACCCAGGGGCAGGGTGAGCTCTCCTGACAAAAATGTCTCTTGCCTGCTCTTTGGTAGACTCACGCCATACTTTTAAACTGACATACAGAAGCTCGGTACAGCAAAACTTGATAACTTCCGCAACAGAGCTGCATGGAACTGTGTCAAGCTGATGACAGTAATAGACAAAGGGAATAAATCTCCCTTCAGCTGCCAGTTTTATTAAATTCAGGATCATTTTGCTCCAGGCTCCAATGCCTTCTTTCTCTCAGTCTGCACATAACAGCTCCTCCAAGGTTTTCCTGCTTAAGACAGTGCATGGCTTCAGAAACCACCGACCACTTCCAAGGACATGAACGCTGCCAACAACATTGGATTTGAGCAGAGTGCTAATGCCCACTCACTCTCTTTCCATTGGTGGTCAACCAAAGGATCGCCACTTCCTCCCACTCGGAAATTAGCAGCGTAGAAACAACACTGTCACAATTCCATCCCCGCCAGGGTATACTCCAAGGGCAGGCTTCCATATGCAATCTGCTTTCTTATTACATGCTGCTTAAGCGATATCCCAGAGCTATTTTAAACATCTGTTTAGTTACTTTTCATTCCATGTACAGATAAACCCTTCTTCCCATTTAATCCTGTGGAGAGGAAAAATCTTAGAGAGAAAGCATATTTCATAAGAAAATGTGCACGGACTGAGAGAAAATACAAGTCTAAATTGTTTCTGTTTGCAGAAACCAAAGGTCAGAGGGAGCATCCTG